ATACAACGAAAAAATTTTTGTACATTTTGCAAATATCCCAAAAATGCTTTAACGAAAAAAAAAAAATAGGTTTATCACCCACAGAGTTAGAGAAAATATTGAAGGCTATCGATATTAACGTAAAATATACATACATATATATTGTGATTAAATGAACAGATATTTTGTAAGAAACAGTTTCATTATACGTGCGCTATTTAATTTGAAACGACGTTGTAAAAAGTTAATGTGTTAATAGTTCTAATAAGAACATATTGCACAATTCTCGACCAGTGTTTTCCCATCCCGAAAGAAACCAGGACAATATCCTGGCGCTATTTCTATCTTATCTTCCTACGACGGGCGACGTTCCGGGCGGTTGTTAGATACGAACAGTTTCCACGGAAGAGCATTAGCGGCGTTATTAGCGCTAGTTAGAGGATACGCTTTGGTGAGAGATGAGAGCGGTGTATAATTATCCATGCCTCTTCTCCCCTCGGCTGAACAGACGAGGACGACGTGTTTATGTGGCGCCGACTGAAGGAGCCTGATAGAGTGTCTTGTATTATCTGCGACATCAGACTAGCCGACGACGACGACGACGACGACGACGAGGACGAGGACGAGGACGACGACGACGACGAGTCATTGAAGGAGGGTGGCAGAGTCGAAATGAGTAACAAGTAATCTAGCATTTCTTGCGCATAGCAGCTGCACCAAAGAAATTACGAACTTGACGATATCTTTGCGCACTATAACCTAAATTTATGATTTAACAACATCGTGATTGCCTGTACAGATGCATGTCGAGAGAGACGCACGTAAGTATGCGTTAAAAAGAAAACTAAATATGATTCGACTGAATTGCTGTAAACGAGATGCAAATTTAGGCTTTTGTTTTTAAAAAAAATCTGTATCTGAAATTGCTGTATATTGCACCTAATTTGTGTACCAATATTTCAGCGCGTATATCAGATTCAATTAAAGCTTTCAATTAATATCAAATCATCGTTATCAATTCTCGGGACACGTGATTAATTTTGGAAATTCACGACTCTCAGCCAAAACTTTTCAAATTGTTTTTTTTTTAATTTGCCATGTAAATTGCCACAGTCATCACCACTACATCGTGTTTTGCGTTTCATTAAATGTATCCTTTCCAAATTCTATGTTAACATTACGTGCAGTCTTCTCTTAGAATGTTTAATTAAAGTACCGAATTAAATCAGGTTACACGATAATGTACCATTCAATAATCAATACGAATTACGTAAATCACCTTTCCTGCCTAGCACATGCAACACAATCGCAGGACACGCAATACAATCCTATAATTTTGCGTATAGTAATGAGAGGAATTGACACTCGAATTTCCATGAAACAATTGATATGCGTTTCGATGCATCGCCGGTGCATCCGTATCCGCCAACATACACCACTGCCATTACCACTTCAATCCATTTTAGTCGAATTCATTAATCGTTACAATATGCATTAGACCTCGTGCAACGTGCAAGCGTTTTAAACGTTTTCGCATTGAATTTATTTTCGTATTAAATTTCACCCACGCATCTCGAATATAAAAACGTTATTTCAATGCATTTGTTAAAAGTGAAACAGTTTTACTGACAACAGCCTATCCAATAAGTTTACGAACACTTTTTTCCTGGAAAGGTTTTCCGTACGTATTATTGAATACATACGAAAAACTTTCCTTGATCTTTCTGCTGCCCAATTTCCAAATGAATTTCTCATCAATTACATACTTATATATTAGACAAAAGCTTGAAAGAAATTCTATACGATGTTAAAGGACAGAACTGAAAAACATTTTCTAGAATCAATAAAAGAATCAGTAGAAAAAGCACAGCTTGACAATTGTTGCTTGAAAATTTAATATTATTGCGTCATGCTCTTATTAGGTAAATATATATCCTCTTTAAATATATATCCTCTCTAAATATATATCCTCTCTAAATATATATCCTGTTAAAGAATTATATAGTGTAGTCAAAGATTTTGTTTATGTTTGTATACTGAAAATTTATAGTTTCCGTTACGTATACTAGACAGTCCTGATAACTGTAGAAATATATCAACACGGCCTTTGTTTCACGGCCGGGTTTAGAAATTAATCTTTTCTTTTCTTTTCAGAATGATATTTTAATGCGATAATGTATGTCTATAACTGTCGATACGTGGAAATACCAAGATTTTCGAAGGGAAACTTGTTAAAATGTATGTATAATAAATATACACTATTCAAGCTTCGAAAATTTCTGTTAGAGCTGGGAATCTAATTTCATTACATATGTATAATATATTACATATATTTTCGAACTAATGAAAAAAAAAAATTATGAAAGAATTACAGATTATTCTAGATCGTATTTAAAAGTAATACAAAAAATTTAGCGACGGTTTAGAATCTGGGTTAAAAGTTATTTTAATAAGTAGTATTTTACTTTATCTATGCTCTAATGAAAATGTATGAAAATGTTTTATAAAATAATGTAAAAAAATCTCAAATTTGTTAATATAAGTACTTTAAGTATTCAAGATGATTTATGCAAAGTTTTATTGCGATATAAAGATTAGTTGTGCTGCAAATAAATACAATTTATTTATAAATTTTATTTATTTGCAGCACAACTAATCTCTGCATTGAATTTTATATAAATTATTTTTGATATTTAAGGTAAGTATACAAAAAATTGAGATTTTTGCTGTTATCTTTTAAATTTTGTCGTTAGAATAAAAAATAACAAATAAAGTAAGTAAATTAGAAAAAAATATTCAATAAAAATAGAACATAAGTTATAAACGAGTTATACAACTTCTATGTATATCGTTTATTTAAAGTATAAATATTAACACATTTATAATGGATATGATATACCCCTAATACCCAACGCACGTGTTTACAAGTGTGCTTAGGTAGAGAGATCTTTTACAATCTATACCTGTTCTGGTATCTTTTTATTGCGGATAGAGCTTTATAACGCGCCTCGATGATGTTAGCGTACATTGGATCTCAAGCGTGAGTGCATCGTCGTAAACGCACGAACAAAGGCTGCGTTAAGTGCATAAGGCGATGGTTATACTGCTTCACGCTCTACTTGCTCGTATATTATATTGTTCGATACTTTATTGCTCTACGCACTAGGACGCGATGATGAAATAAAACGTCTGCTTTGTATGTACGCGAGAAATAGCCTCTTGCTTTTCCTTCCCGTTTGAATTAGCTGTACTGGATAAAGAATAAAGAATTCTAAAGACACAAAATTGAACGTATCTTTTAGTTTTCCGCTGATAAAAACAAAAGTTGTTATCTTTTTCAAAAAAATTTGTGGCTGAAATTAAGTACGATCTCTGCACGAAATGGAAATTCCGAAATAGATAACTCAGACAATATAAAATTTAAAATCGAGATATGAGATGCCTTTAAGACTCGGGGTTTTTCATTTTTTATATTAACTTGTGATTAACTTTAGACAACTAACTTACTAAGAGATTCATCAATGAAATTCATTCATAATTTCTTGGTAATCTTTAATCTTTAGGTAATCATATATTGCGAGAACAGGCCTTAATCTGATAATGTAAGAATTATGTTTTTCTAACTATGATTAATCACTAAACTGATGATTTTATAGTGGTAACTTTAAAAGTTATTCACTACAAAATCATCAGTGATTAGCAAAAGGTAGAAAAATATAAGTTTTATATCATTATATCAGGTTAGATTTAACCACGAGAGAGAGAGAGAGAGAGAGAGAGAGAGAGAGAGAGTTAACTAGAAAATAAAAAAACTGAGTCTATAACGGCTTTCGCAAAAATTTTTTGTCTTTAGAGGGCGGGAATCTTTTTTTTTTCTTTAATTTCATATGTTTCTGACTAAGATTTGTTATATAATTCATTAATCTAGATCCATAATCTTGTTTTAAAAGGCCTTTAGAAATTGGCCAATTACAGTTGAATATGAGAAAAATAACTGTGATTCGTCAATTTCTTACGGTGACTTAGGATAGACTCTTGAAGTAAAAGTGTGTGGACCTAGATTTATTTCATTTTACTTCTTGCCTTAAAATATGACAATTTTAGTGCCATTATACTGACTTTCCTCTATTTAAAGAAATGTTTCTTTGTTATATGGTTAAAGAAATGATTTTCACAAATCAAAGAAATCTTTTTTTTAACCGTATAACAAAGGAACATTTCTTTAAATCGAAGAAATTTTTTCTCTGGGTGCGTCTTGCAAAAGTTAAAACGTCTTATTCCAATTTTGGACATTGTATGGTGTCTGGGAATGAAAAATCGAGTAGTCCATCGTACGCGAATTGAGAGTCTAATTCGAGAGTCTAACTCTTAGGGAACAACCGATATCTTCCTTGCGTGCCAACACCTTATTTCCCACCAGTAAAAATAGAAGTAACCGCGCGTGCAATTTTCCTAGGAACGATCGGTACGTCGAACGCGATTTGATGATTACGAATTCAACGAGAATCTCGTAGGTAGGCCTTTATCTCTCCGCGGCACTCGCGCGCGCCGCGCGTATCGTGGGACCGTGCAGGTGCCGGGCGCTACACGATGGCAGTAATGATGGCATTCATATCTCTTTAACAGTGCCACGATGTTAGGCGAAAAATATCGCAAAGTAACAGTATCAGAATATAGACTAGATGTACGAAAGAACATTGGCGCTTCAAAGCGTTAAGAGGGCAAGAGAGGACATTTACCTCCTTCCTTCTGACCGACAATTTCTAATACAATTTCTTTCTCAAGTTTATACCTACTGTCATAATGAAAAAGCTTTTAATACCAAAAGATGTATATATTTGTTATTATATACGTATATATTTTAATTCTCGAAATTATAGCAGTAACAAGCTTGTGTATTTATTATTATTATAATATTTTGGCTCAGCCCCTCCTTTAGGAAAAATCTAGATGTCTTTAGATACTCTTCCACGATGGGGTGGAACTCTTCCTCGTAATGGGAGTTGCGAGGGGGCACCCCGCGCCGGTTGACACGTCGTTGGCCGGGTCGTTCTCGCACCAGTCGCACCCGGCAAAAGCAGGCAAAAGTGTCGGCGTAGCCGCGAACCGACAACGACCACCGTGTCGCTACGGCCGTCGCCGTCACCTTTGCGTTCGCCTCTTTCGCCCGCATTGGTTAGTCGCCGCCGCTCGTGGTGTTTCGTGTCGTTCCGCGCGTCGTAGCCGCGCGTCGTCGTCGTCGTGATACACCGTCCGATCCGCTCCGGGGCCTCCGGCTCGCCTGAAGAGGAGTGAGGAGGAGAGGGGCCAGCCTACGACGATGTTATCGCGGAGTCGCTCGAAGAAGGGGAGATGCTCCCCCGGGGAGCACGAATCTGCGGTGTACGAGGGTAGGGGAAGTCAGCTGAACGCCGGTGGAGTGGTGAGGGTCGGGCGACGAGAAGGGCAAACCGAGAGCGCTCCACGTCGACCGCTCCGAGCGGTTTAGTAGCGAGTCGAGTCTCACCGCGTCAACGTGTTGAAGATATATCGAGTACGATAACTGTACTGTAACTGTGACGCGAGTTCGTTTTCTTTCTTTTTTTGTTTCCGCGTGATTCGTCGTTTCAACGGACGCTGGGTTGCTCCGACCTAAGGGTGCTCCAACGATTTGTTTCTCCTATTCTCTTTCTTTCTTTCTTTCTTTCTTTCCCCCCCCCCTCTCTCTCTCTCTCTCTCTCTCTCTCTCTCTCTCTACGTAATTTAGTGCTTGTGGAAAAAAAAGAGTTTTGTGCGTATCGCGCGCACAGATAAGTGCCGCTTCATCACCGAATCAACTTAAAGCTTGGTGCATGGCTTCGCGTCCGAGAGTGATATCGTTGTTTCACTGCTGCGGCGGATATAAGAGGAAGATAGTGCGACGGATCGCGCGGCTGGATCGCCGATGAGCCGTCGAGTGTGATAGAAAAAGTGGTGCCTATCGTCGAGTAATACGACCGACGGCGCGAGAGGATCGACCGCGAAAGATGCTGACGTCCAGCGCGAATCAGTATCTCCGTCCTGATCATTACCTCACGCCGCTACCTACTACGGTTAGTCTCTTTCTTCCTTTCTCCTTTCGTTTTGGTTAGTTCGCTTTTCTCGTCTCTCCTTTCTACGTCGCTATTTACGGAGTCCATTATTCATACCCCTCCGTGCCCGTTTGTTCGTCGCGAATTAACGATTTGTCGAGATACGCGTCTCTCAATGTCTTAAAGGCTTCGTATTTAACGAGCAATATTTCCTATTTGTCATTTGCATTCCGAATGACGGCGCGGCGGAATATAATAATGTACGTGGACTCGGAGAAAATCATAAGAAAAAGAATGATTGTGCCAAAGTATCTGAAAATTTAGATAGATACAGACCTGAAAATAATTTTATTGGATCAAATCGAAATAATTATATAGGACATTTAAGCGTGATGAGCGATGCTGCGAAAAGTTTCACATTCTAGCAATCAACTTCCTACATAGTTATTTTGATATGTCAAATTATTTTGATCTGTATTCAGATTTTTTTTGATATTTCAGTAAAATATTCTTTCCGTGTATGACGGCAACTATATATAAAGATGATAGCTGTACAAATTTTATGTGAATTTAGTCGAGTGAATTAGTGTACATAGTTAAATGAACTATTTTATGTAATAGTTGCAATAACTATGAAATAGTTTAGTACGTACATTAATTTTTACAAAACGAGAAAGCCACTGTAGTGGCGCTGAAACAGATTCATATTTTGAGGCAAGGAATACAATGTGTACAAAAAATAATGAATTATAACAAATCTGACTTTACGGAAAGCTGTAAAATTTTAAAAATAAATTCCTGTCTTCTCTAAAGATTAAAATTCTATGTATAATAAAGATTATAATTTTACATGTACTTGTACAATTGCCACTTTTATAGTTGTTACCACTATTTCTTTAAGGTCCGATTTCTGGTTAATTTGAGATTTAATCTCACTCAACCTGATGATAATGTAAAAATTATATTTTTCTAATTATGATTAATCACGAATAGTTTCGTAATGTGACTTTAAAAATTATTACAAAACTGTAGCTAGAAAAAAATCATTTTTACATTATCATCAGATTAAATTTAAACCACTAGTTAACAAAAGAATGAAAAACCTCGCCTGGATATGCAAGAAAAACATCGCTTCTTTATTATTCGTTCTCTTTATTTTGCGTCTCTACCGAGAAAAAAAAATGTGCGTTTAAAGTGAGAAAACCGATTCGACATGTTGCAAATAAATCATGTTGAAAATTAACATGGTAAATAGATCGCGCCAGAAAACAACCCACCGTAAACATTCTATAAGTGCTGCGACAATTCGAAAAACGGAGTATGATCGATAAACGATGTTAATTTTATTCTGATAATTCTCTCACGTAATATATTCGTGCAACATTTATATTATTAATGCAAACGCAAATAGTCCAAATGCTTAAAATGTCGCGTATGCACGAGTTTTCCTGCTTAAAAATATCTTTCCTAGCGGCTCATTAACGTCGCCTGTCGTCGTTTCGTTAATCCCGACGGAAACACGCGCGCCGCGTTTTATGCTCCGAACTCCTGTAAACTATTTTGGGGACAGCGAGTGTTCGTTGGCAAAGTCACGGCGTGCGTCGCGCTGATTTACGCACGTCATAAATCAAAGCGCGATTCGGTAATACAATGCTGATTGTTGCGCAGGGGGGAGGGAGGAGGGGAGGGGTGAAAGATAGAAAAGCGAGTGGAATAAAGCGTTCGATCGGCTTTTCGGTACAGACGACCACGTTGGACGGTTTATCCTCTTATATTCAGCGGTGCAGATCTCTCTAATATTTATAAGAGACGTAAAAATTTTTGTGCGCATGATTGAATTTCTAATGCAATGAATAAATAAATGAATTTGCAATCTCCGCTTCGCAAAGAATATAAAGGACCGTAAAATCATTTATTATGAACTGTCTCGCAGTAGCTGGATCATTTAAATGCAGAACAAAGACAAAGCACTCCGACTGTATCTCCGATAGTTTTGGTATAAAAAAGAAAATACCTTTTCTGGTTTTCCGTGATTATTTTGTTCAGTATTTTGCGACACTGGTGCTTAAAACTCACAAAAAATCAATTTGACAATATAGAAAAATACGAGTTATATTCAGACGATTCAAGTTCTTCTTAATATTTAGAAAAAACATAAAAATGCTTATATGTGTTCAACTGAATTTGTAATGTAATGAATAAATAAATTTTCAATCTTCACTTCGCAAAGAATATAAAAGATCATTTATTATAAATTTAACCGTTTCGCAGTAAATGGACTATTTAAATTCAGAACAAAAGTAAAGCAGTGGTTACATTTAACATCTAATTTTCGTGAAAAAAAAAAATATCTGGCTTCTCGTGTTGATTTTTTTCGGTATTTTACGGTTAAAGCAGTGTTTATTGCTCATAGAAAATCAGTTCGACGATACAGAAAAAGTACGAGTATATATATATATATATATATATTCAGACAGTGTAAATTTATAATAGTTATAAGACTAAGTAAAAAATTTCTTGCGCATGATTGACTTTGTAATGTAATGAATAAATAATTGAATTTGCAATCTCCGCTTCGCAAAGAGCAAAGAATCGTAAAGTCATTTTGTAAACTGTCCCGCAGCAGCTGGGCCACTAGTCAAATTCAAAACAAAGGCAAGTCACAAGCTATTCTTGTCGACTATTAGTCTATTCTAATTTTCATGAAAAAAAAAAAAAAAAAAAAAATCCTCTTGTTTTCCAATTTTTCCAATACTTTGTGAAAGTGATTACTTGCAAAAAATTCACAATAGGAAAAGAAAGTATATAATTCAAAAGATTTCAGCAGAAGTCACGTAAAGTGTGGACAAAGAGAAGTTTCTCTTGTCTCGAGGGACATAAATTAACCGCGACAATCAAAAGCCGGCGGGCGGAATTAGCGGATTAAAATATTACGTTCGAACGTTCCCGTTAACTTTCACGAGCGCAATTAATATATAGCCTCGCGTTGCCGTAATGGCCTGTTGCAATTCACGGCATTAATATCTGTCGGCGTCGCGCCATTAGTACAGACCCGACCGTGAGCGGCGATGGCGGGTTAGTGTTGCATGATCGTTGCATTTTAATTACGGCGGAACATCTGTTCGGTGGACGTATCAGTCGACGAGAAATATCGTTTCTCTATACGTTAATTATAGCGAGTGCATCATCGTGACCACTTCGGAAGATGCGAGAAGGCGCCGATATTAAATTCCCCGCACTTACACGCTAATGACGTCTGTATCGGGCAATAGCATATTGATTATCTCCTCCCCCGGTGAATCTCGTTCTTAAAAAGATAAGGAAAGATTCTGCGCGGATAATCGTCGCAATGTTCCGCACCATTGACGTGTCATATTTCAGATTTATAGAAATCATCACGCGCGCGCGAAAATATCTTTTCTTGTTTTTATCCGCAAATATAAAGATCATTAATATTTCTAAAACAATCTCAATTATCATTTCCGAAATTAATTCATTTACATAAATATATATGATAATTCAATATCTTAACATTCCGACTGTAGTGGCGCTTTAAAATTATTAATATTTTTATTAGTGAGATAGAATTAATTTCAATAGATTATTAAAGGTAGTAAAATATTAGTAATCTAATAATCCAATAATAATTTAGATAAATTTATTTATCCTTCAGAATTCTAAAAATTAGAAAAAGATAAAAAGAATAACTGAGATTAAGCCTTTTATCAATGCATACATACAGATCAAAAATTTTAAGAATGTTAATGAAAAATTATAGATTTTTCTGCATTGTATTTGAAAGTAATACAAAAAAGTTTGGCAGTAATTTAGAACCTTGTTAAAGAAACTATTTCAATATGAAGTAGACATATTTTTAAAAAATAATTAAGATAAAAAAAGAAAATTTTCATTTAATAGTCTATAAAATTATGTATTAAATGCACCTTATTAAACTATTTCATATATATATCTACATTTTCAATTTCAGTCATTTTTTGTAAAGCCTATATACCTAAACATTCTGAATTCTTAAACATAGATTAAATCAAAATTTTTTTATTTTTGAATTTCGTTATGACGTTTCAAAAATCCCATCTTTCGAATAACAAAAAACAGTTTTGCATAGATTTTATCTGGTTTTTATTTATACATTTTTAACCTGTAAAACATTGTAGCGAAAAGATGAAAAATTATGCATTGACAAAAGGATTAAAATTAATCTACATTGGTAGAAATGGACGTAATCACGATTTCACAAGTACACAAGTTTAGAATTAATATCTACGGGATTTATCATTGTTAGTGGAAGTAATTCAATTTCAACGTTGACAGGTCGTTAGGAAAAAATCTCGGGGACACGTTTCGCTCGCGTAAAAAATTTCTCAATAAATCAAAAGGGCGGGCGTTTCGTGGGATAAGTTTGTCCGACGCACCCTTTATCCACGTCACTTCTCGCTCGGCGAAAGAGTGACGCGGCGCTACAGATTGCGGTTTGCGCGTCATTAATTGGACTTGCCTCCATCCAGACGCGTCACGCGCCAAGTTTCGAGGGTTGTCAGATGTGCATTGCGGTGTAGCAGTCGATCGAAAATCACTTAAATCACTAACGTTACGTATTTCGAAAACAGGTCGAACTCGTCAAATTATCAGATTCGCAACAAATATTAATTATTACCGAGTCAATTAATATTAACGATTGCATTATCGTGTTTATAAACATAAGAAAGTTTTACGCATCAATCAACGTCGACACACTCTATTGAATTTCGAAATGATAAAATGGAGTGTCGAAATTATTATGTTGAATAATCGGTTATTTTGAGAATCATTAGTTCAGTTCTAAAAAGTAATAAAAATATATTATAATGACATACATACACACACATACAGTAGATTCAGTATGTGAAATCATATTTTGAATAAAAATTGCGAATTGTATAATCAATAGTTCTACATTAAAAAGATTATATCCTATACTCTACACTAAAAAATATATAATGGTAATCAACTATATAAATGATAACTATACAAGTTTTATATGTAGAATTAGAGTGTTGACACAGTTGAGAATAAACTACTTTATAATTGCGTTGAACGTTTCAACTATGTACATTAATTCTAGATATAAACTTGTATAGTTGTTGTCGTTATAATTGCTACCACTATAACGACACATCTTTTTCCCTTGAGCGTAAGAAAAATAATGTTTCAATATGACATTTGTATCAAGGAGGATTAACAAAATATTCGAAAAGTCAACTTATCATTCTCAATATAAATATCCCTTCCAGAATTGCAAGACTTTTATTTTATAAACATTTTCCGTCTTTTGATTTCAGCTGGATGCGAAGAAAAGTCCACTTGCACTGCTCGCACAGACCTGCAGTCAGATAGGAGCGGATCCACCGTCCAACAAATCATTATTAAGTTCCTTGGACAAGACATCGAGTAACAGATCATCCAAAACGGAACAGTCTCGCGAGAAATCCTCGCCGACGATAACAGTGTCAGCCACGGTGCCGACGTCGGCGAGCGAGTCCACGAAGACTAGTTTTAAGCCATACGAATCCTGCCTGGGACGTGAGAAGGCGTGCACGCCGGACGAGTCGCGATCGACGTCAAGTCACTCGACGTCCGGCCGATCGAGGACGCCCGGTAACAGCGGCAAACGATGCCCAAGCAATCAGAGTGCCACGTCGACGCGCGCGGTCACGCCGCAAGGTAGGAAAACAGCAACGCCAAACGGCGAGGTCACGCGAGACTCGCCGGCTTCAAGAAACTCGGCGCCTTCGGTGCCGTCGAGTACGACGGACGCTTCTACGAGTCAGCCAACCGTGAGTAGTCCCTCGTTACAAGTGAAACCCGCCTACAGTCCCGTCAGCGTGCTCGCTATGGCCGATCCATCAATCAAGGATCTCCCATTGGGCACGTTTAAGCCTGGCGTTAGTCTACCAGCCTCCACCGCCGCCTACTTGGGCTACAGTCCCGGTCAACTACCCATCGACGTGATGGCCAATTCGCTCATGTCTCATCACGCCGCTCTGAAGAATGGCATCAACCCTTATCTTTATGCACGATTGAAAAGCACCAGTGGACCCGCGGACAGTCTGATGCCGATATGCCGTGATCCCTTCTGCACCGGCTGCCAGCTTAACTCGCATCTACTGTCGAACCCCGCGACAGCCGCAGCGGCAGTCGCCAGCATCGCCAATGGCAAGTTGCCATCGGGTGCGAGCGCGACGCCGGGCTCCTGTCCGGCTGGGTGCGCTCAGTGTGATCACAAACCCGGCAGCGTTTCGCCCTACGGCTCGTTGGTTTACGCGCATGCGCAACTCGCAGCATTGGCCGGCACGCAACTACCCTACGTGTGCAACTGGATCGCGGGTGATACCGCGTACTGCGGAAAGAGATTCGGTACGTCCGAAGAGCTGCTGCAACATCTTAGAAGTCATACGAACGTGTCGGCGAGCGCAACCGATCCCGCGAGCGCGGCTGCCGCGCTTTCCCTCCTGCCTGGCCCACCCCCGGCACTACACCCGACTCATCCTCTGTTCGCGAGGTCTTACCCTACGCCGCCTTTGAGTCCACTCGCTACCGCGCGCTACCATCCCTATGGGAAACCCTCGCCGCTCTTGACACCGTCTCTGTCGACGCTCGGGCTGCCGCTTCCGCCGCCGCCACCGCCACCACCGCATCCACACGCGACTGCCGGACTGGCATATTTCTCGCCGTATTCTATCTACGGATCTCGTCTAGGTGCTACCTCCGGGATGCACCAATGAGTTCTCGGCGATGAACCGAGACGCGAAACGTGAGCGAAACGCTTTCGAGATAAGTCGGCCGGCGAACTGTGATTCTGCTACGGATTTGAATACGTGAACGAAGAGCATCGGTTCTACTATAAAAGCGGTGCTTTTGTCACGGCATCTCGTGAAGGAATCTGGAGTCATAAAACGGATATCGAAGCGGTAGGAATGTTTTTTTTTCTCGATTACTACACTTGGAGAAAAACTTGATGTTAGCAACTATACAGATGACAACTGTACAAATATTATATGTAGAATTAATGTGTATATATTGTTGAACAAATTATTTTACAGTTGCAAGGACTATAGAATAGTTTTTTCACACAACTGTGCGTATTAATTTTACATATAAAACTTATATAATTATCACCTACAGTTGCCATCACTGTGTCTTTTTCTCTGAGTTTACGCGATAGTATACTCGGTGCGTCTTCCGCAAGCTGTACGCTAAGCTTTTTTTTATCGTATGATTGAAAATCTAATACAGAATTTGAAAGTAATATGCACATGAAATACATCTTCTAGTTATCCTTAGGTGCGAATCATTACTGTTTCGATGTTGCCAGATTCGACAGATGTCGACAGATTCGATATATTTTATATTTTAGATATTAAAATATTTCAATAAATACTAATTTTTTTTTTTAAATAGAACTCAATGTATCGGAGCATTCTACTCTGTGAGTGTTATTTCGAGAAAAAGTTATATTAATGTCTTTTCATCTTCTATTCTCGAAAAGATAAAATACCGTCGTTATCGCGTATGCCTACCTCAGCTTTGCAAGAGTAATGATTCAATCTTGTTGTTGCATTTGAAATACTTTTAGGACGATTAACCCTCGTTCAGCAGTATTGATAATGCATGAGAAGCAACGAATGGATTTATAAAATTCATTCATTTTTAGAATAAATTGTAGAACGATATTAGAATTATTTTTTATAGTCTTAAAGTCGTTTATTTTATTTTATTTTCCTATTCGATAATTATGTAATATTCGTTTATTCTTATTATTTTACATAGCAAAGTAGTTTAATTTTACAATAAAATCAAAATACGAAGGAGATATTTAAAATGGACAAACTTGTACTACGATTAAGCGGAAGGACTCAGGCATGATGTAAGAATACAAGATGTACCATTATGCATAATACAATACTGGAAGCAATCAATCAAATACCTCTATGCATTTTTCTGCGTACAATAACGCTGGCATATTGGAATAGCCAATCAAATTTTGGCCACAATTCACTTTCTCTTACTGTATGGCTCATCCTCGGGAATGACACCATGTCTTCTTACATCATAGACTCAGGTACCGCGTTCCATGCGACTGTAAACATTCCGCTGTTCGAGGGTTAAACGCCTAATGCGAACGTTGCCGAGTTGGCTGCTTTCGTCTGTTCGGTACTATCCTTCAGACTCTCTAATTCTCTTATATTTACTGCAGAAAGAATCGAGAATGAATTCTCATGTATCAGCTTAGACCAGAAGCGACGAATTTATGACGAAAGCCCGCATTAAACGGCAGTGCGTCGAACAAGCCGTACCTTTGGATGTGTGCAATTTAACAGTGCTATTAAACTAATAAACTCTTTCAGAGAGCTGACAAGATTTTAATTTATGATTAAAAGTTGCGTGACGCGCGAGAGAATAAATTTTTCGATATTTTATTCGTTCTCTGTCCATCTGCTCTGTCGGACGTACATCTCAGTATCGGATGACGAGTGCCACACCAAACGTCGAAAAACCAATGTTTAACTGTGATTTCCGAGTGAGAAAGTTGCGAGAGAAAGAGAGGGAGAGAATGCGATGAGCCTCCGCGAAAAGAGATTATACGCGTGCGAATATGTGTGCGAACTAGAATTTGTTAATGAACGCGCAATTACGGGGATTTTATTTCGAACGAAAGTAATCGTCGTAATCGGATAAACATACATTTTGTCATGCGTTTTATTTTAATCGTTTGGGGAAACGAAAAATCTGCTATTTACAAATTATTGCGATAATTTTATGTAAAACAAACTTCGTAATAACGAGGTTTTCTTACGTTTACATTAAAAAAAAAAAGAATGTATAAAATACATTCCAACGCGGAATTTATTTATTGTTTAAATTGTGTTTGAATTCTATTGTTATTAGTATTATTATTACGAGTTATCAATCTATATATCTTTCAAACGTGATTTGGATTTCGAAAATCTTAATATTATAATATTTTTTTATTCGTATATTTTATAGGAGATATTTTCTTTTTAACGCGCCAATGTAATATTTCTGTTTTTTCTTTTGTTTAAAAAATACGATTAATTGTTTCAAAACATGTGTTGCGTAACAATCTTTGTTTGAAGCAATCATTGTACTTTTGCTTGGCATTCACAGGCACAAATAAATATTTGAATACCAAATAAATGAATGTATGGAATATTTTTTAACATTTTATTCATTCGACATTGATCGGAACTGCATTGCAACAAATTCAGTTTCATTCACTTTCGACTGAAGTATTCTCCGTTTTTGCGATTGTGGGAAATAAATAATTGATATAATGTATCACTATATATGTACTATTTATAAATTATATCAATGTCCTACTTCCCTTGTAATTATTGTACATTTGTTTATAGGTATATAAACTCTAACAAATCCCTAATAAGGAAGCGAATATAGTTCGGATATACATATATCCATACGTATATAAATACATATACATATGAATATATATATATATATATAATCGATATATTGTCGATATTACGTAGCGCATCGAACTTTACGTATGTACATGACATATTGAGGAGCGAAGTGAATGACGATTATTATGAGGTATTGTAATTTGTAAATAGCTTTATTATAACGCAACGTTGGTAGTTACAATCGAAGGACATTGCGAATGTCGAGGAATTTGCTCACAATTCTAATTCTTACGTTGACTCTATGTATTTCTGATTTTTATATGTGGTTACAAAGCTTTGTATTTACACTTGGCACGCGTCAGTGTCATTATCTACATCAACTTGTCGTTATTCTATCATTGTTTTATTCTATATTACTCAAGAGTTTGATTCTTTTCAAAACTGAAATACAGCAAATCGTTTCTTACAAAAAATAAGATTCTCATATTTATTAATACCATCACCGCATCACAACGTTCCAGTTAATTATCAGACGATTTTGCGAAATATACTTTATTTGTTTATTTTAATATATTTTTTAATATTATATCTTATTTATATAGTCCAATATACGCATAACGTTGATTTAAAATGTGATTTCATATGTAAAATACATTTTAATGCTCATTATATCGAATACAAGCATAAAAAATATCGTTTAAAATTTCATGTCGAATAATTGAATTGGAAATTTGAAATCGTTAATTCATTAATTCATAAAATGGTAATTAAATATATTATGCAATGTTTACTCAACGATATAAAAAATATGGCTATTATAATACATAAATTGATGTCTCTGTTTTCGTTATTCTTATTAATATTTAAACTATTGATATCTTGTAACTGATTACAAATAAATTGTTCTTCATAATTTATCGAAATTCGAGATTCAAGGATTCGTTCCATAGAATATTTGCATAAAATTTATACTATAAGAATCTTTCTACGACAATGCTTTATCGTGTGCAAAATTACTACGTGCAGATGTATAATGTACGACTGTATGTAAATTCACCTAATGTTCAACCGACTGCGTAAATTAATAATGTTCAGTCAAATGCTCCGCTGAGAATTATAAATTATGGTCGTCATCGTTTCTGTCGTGTTACGGCGAATCAATATTAGCGCACTCGCATTTCCAGTGTAAGCACAACCTTAATCACCGTTGCTACATTGAAATAAATCATTTGCAATATAACAAACGATCGCGTGATAAAAGCATCGATTTTCCGATGACAATTGATGACAATTTACTGTCCCCTGGAAACTTAAATTATTTAAATTACGTCATAAAATTGATTTCTGGCTGGATAGCGTTTATGTGCCGACTTTACGGACGGTGAAGCGTGTAACTATTATTATATCAGGTGGATTTGAATTTCCTCTATGGAAGTACCGCGAAAATAGCAAAATACATAAACGATATCTCCGATTCGCATGTCGCGAGTTATTATCGCTTTTCCATCGCACGAACGGGTATTGATGGCATGCAACACGCGATATCACCAAGTATCCCGCGTAAATACGAGAAGGATACAAAAAACCACTAGAACGACGATAATTTTGCGACAAGCTGAATAAAAGAACAAGCAGCATGTTCCTTCCGTCGCGTCGGTACCACGCCACGAAACAAAAAGCGGAAGCAGATGCACGAGAAGTCGAACCGGCTTGTGCACATGGGGTGATTTCGCTTGCCCTTTAAGTGATTTATGGACAGAACGCTGCGACTCCATCTACTTGACCTATTCACCTCGTTAGAAAGGATAATGTATTCATGAGTGGCTAACCTTAGCCGCATTATAGCTACTATCGAACTGCGCAAAACAAAAGCGAACGTAGAAAAATAGCTTCGAAGATCTCAGCTTTTGAATAACAATTAGACGCCTTGTAGACGCTGTCTTTTTTAAAGCAGTTCCTTTCATACAACTTTAGAGCAAAGAGAAAGCAAAAAATACAGAAGAAAAATGTTTCCTTCGCGCGCTTTATTACTAATCTCGTAAAATTCGATGGATAGAGTGTCTGTTTCCATGTTCAATTTTTATTATAATGTACGCGCGCATAATGTTTATCATTTCCTGTCGAAGTTGCTACTCGCGGCTACTAAAGTGTGTAACGTCTGTTCTTGGCCATGACAAGAAAGTTACGCATCAAGTACCTAGTCAAGAGTGTGCTCTTCCGGCAATGTTTTGCATCAGGAAAGGCATCAACGGCGGTAAAAGAAAGCAGCACTTGCTGAAGAGTACTTCAAACGGATTAGTTGGCGCCAGTGAATTCAATGGTTTCCGTTTGCTGGTCGGTAAACCGGTTTTATCATGCTTTTACATTATCTCTTCTATATATTTTTTTGTATATATATATAAACATTTTTCAATTATTATATTATCACATATCTTAATCGAATATATCAATCGAATATATTTGTCTTAATCGAATATATCAATTTTATTTTCTGTCCCATTCTTTGATTCGATACATACGATAGTACATAAAATATATAAAATATACGAATGATAATCTTGAGTTCATAAATTGCTATTTTCGAAAAGATCTTTTTTCGAATTTATTCTTTTTTCTCTATATTTATAAAAGGAAACTATTTTATTGTAATATCTAAATATTTAGATACAGATCTGAAAATAACTTTATTGGTTCATTAAAATAATTATTTATATGGAAAATTCAAACATAATGAATACAATGCTGCAAAAGATATTCTGGCAATCAGTTTAAGCATCCTATATAATTGTTCCGTTAATCTATCAAATCATCTTCAAAAGCATCTGAAAATCATTTTCAGATTTCATTTAGCTAAATTTTTTAATACTTCAGCAAAATCGTTCTTTCCGTATAATAAAAAAAAAATTCTGATTGAACACATATTGAGTAATATTTAAATATGACAATAATCGAAGACACTTGACAACTTTTTCTCTCGAAACAAATTTCAATAAAATTCGATATCGTGGAGATCATCAATCTGATAGTCAATAGGAAACAAATAGAAGACGATTAACTGATCACGTATATATAATATACCTATATATATACACATACACACACATACTCATCGCTAAAGCGATTACTATCCTATAGATCGACAGGTTTCACAATTGGAATTAGGGCAAATCGTAGAAATGGAGTTACATACGGAAAAGAATCCGAGTAAATCCAGTACTTCGATAAGGACCGAAGAGGGTTAGACCGATACAACATTGCCGCATAAACGAATTGGACAACGTAATACAGTTAG